TTTACTTGTTTAGGCTGTTTATTCTAATCTCACCCTCACCCAGCCTATTGTTTCCAATCATGCTTGCATGAAATTCTCACTTTATACCCTGTCTCTTATACACATCTAGATGTGTATAAGAGACAGGGACCTAATTTCGCATACATGGCGAACGTCAAAAACACTCGATCACGAAGGCGTTGTGGTGATTCAAGCTCAATGTAAAATCTTAGTTAATTTTATTCTTTAGTAAAGGACCCATAACTTTTTATCAGTGAGTAGAATAATTCTTGAAATTAAAACATTTATGTATCGGTTGACAATTAGGATAGGTGAAGATCTAGAAGTTTGATAAACAGACAGCACGGGCTGCTCAGTTCGGAATCTTTTGCAAGGGTCTGAAATGGATAGCAGAAGTTCCATAAACGATAATTTCATAAATTAATAGAAGATGATTCAGCAGTGGAACTGAAATGCATCATGAGCGAATAGATCCAAGCATTTGTTGTAACCTTTTAGAGGTTAATATTTGCAACAGGTTTGGTCAGTTTGAGTAATGCCACCTCCACTAGCAATTAACTCGTAAAGATTGTCAAGGCCCTACGCTGTAAACTTCAAAGTTTGAGTCAGGAGATACCAATCTAGTCTACAGCATTGACATTATCAAATCATCCCCTGCTTAATTGAAAGGATGTCCCGGGTCCTATATTGAAATTGTACACAGTTTAATAAATGTACATTGGACCTACGGTGTATGTTCATAAACCACCAGGGTCACTCTCTCTTCCACACCCCAACCCGTTTGCCACACATTCTAAAGCTGTAGTGCATGCCAATACCGTAATATGTAATGAAATAAGAAAAAAATATATAAAATTCAGTATGCAATGTTTCTATAGAAACTATAAAAAAAAAACTATAAAAACAAAAAGTGGTCAAATAACGTAACAGAGTTTGAGGTAAATTTTTAGCATTCTGAATTCATCATTTGTTGGTTAGTCTGTACATCATTTTTTCCCTTCTTAAACAGTAAGTAAGCAATAACACATCCTCTTTCCCTTCTCGGGGGTTCAACAGTAAGTAAGCAATTACAGCACATCATCTTTTCCTTCTCGGGGGTTCAACAGTAAGTAAGCAATTAAAGTACATTATCTTTCAACAGTAAGTAAGTAAAGCACATTTTTATACATCATACAGTATTCTTATTAAAGTACATTATTATACATTATTGTTATTCAAATTTTCTCGTCTCGCCCCGATATAGGATACCAAATTCCCCTGATGGGTTCCAATTATCTCTGGTATTGTTAGCCCACTCGAATTTTTATGTGCTTGCTTTTCTATATATATTATGTACATTTATACAATAATTGCTGCTGCCTGGTGTTGAATTAGCAAAAGCAAATCATTGATAATACATTATTTTTAAATCCCATGATTCATTACGCATTTTTATTTTTGTAGCTGAGAGATAGTGTATACTAAATACATAAATGGCATAAGATTTTTTATGTGCTCATCTGAACTAACGTACATTTTAATGATGAATATTCAATAGTGTATTCCGAACGTCATCATTCGCCCGTCAGTAATGTCTATTGAGCGACTGGAAATCTATCTCAATCATAAAAACATATCGATGACGTCATTATCGTAGGACGGATAAATGAGAGTTCTCATTGTAATAGCATATCGAAGGAAGATCACAATGAGTTGCGTTCAATTTATTGATGCTGTTGTAAAATTACATAATGCCGTTTCAGAAATACTGAACCAGTTCAAAATTAAAATTATTTTGCATGTATCGACAATTACATTGTTTTTTCAATCAATAGGAATGTGTATCAAAACATACAACGTAGATCTTGTAGTCGAAGACACTATAAAGTATGTATAATTGAAACATGTAACACATGTCTACTAAACAGTTCAAACTAAATTATCTTTTTAATTTATAATTTTTTTTTTTAATTTTGTGAAAGCACAATACAAAATCAAACCGTCATAGGATAGGCAAGGTACAAAATGTTCTTATACTGTACATGCAATTTAATTGGGCTGTAATCAATAGACCGAATCGCAGTGGTGGCGCCAGATGGGGGTTGGGGGTTATAGCCCTCCGTCGGCGGAGAAGCATAGCCACCCCCCCCCCCCAGCATAGCCCCCCCCCCCCCCCCGTCGAGGAAAACGATAAAGTTTGTCGGGGAACAAACAAATAAAAAAAAATAATAATTACATATTACATGTAATATTCGTTTAGCCACCATGTTGTTTTCATCACAACAACAACAATAACAATAATAATAATAATAATAATAATAATAGTAATAATAATAATAATTCAATGAGACAAATTAAAAATAATTTGCGTTCTGTTATGACAAATGCTCATTTAGATAGCCTCATGAAGGTTGGAATACATCGTGATAGGTGAAGCAACCTCTAACATGACAGCATGGTGACAAATTTCATGCAAAATTTCCAAAATATAGAATTTCACTTTCAAGGATGAGGATTTGAAAATAAATTAGATGGTTACATTGCATACTCTTTGTTTCTTGATTTATTCAAATGTTTTGATTTTGAAAGCTGATTTCAACATTAGAAAGCATAGCCTACATGAAGTCATATTATAGTAACTCGATGCCTATCAAATAAGTAATAAAAATTCGCCATAATTCATCAAATATCAGAGGCTTCAAGGGGGCTTCGCCCCCTGGACCCCACCTCTGGCCCTAGGCGGCTCCTGGCCCCTAACCAAGTGATACTCGATTCGCTCCACTACCCCCTCCCCCACCGTCGGGGCCTTTAGCCCCTGCCGGCATCACTGCCGAATCGGCGCTTCCAGCTATTACTGTACACGTGACATATAGTGGGTATAACCATGATATCACGCTCAGATTGAACACAGTATATTGAGAGAGTTATGATGTTTTTTAGACAGTGACCAGAAGTAAAGTAAGGCAGTAGGCCTATGTTTTTGGCTGCACTGTTAGTGTTAAGCCTTGACCGGAGGGGCCGGGTGATCAGGGAGGAAATTGTTATGCCTCGAGTATATATCTCTGTAGTCGATAGTAGGTAAAAGTAAATAATAGCCCTTAACGACACTGTTTGCTCAACCGAACTTGGTCTAAGAAACAGGCCTGTGATAATCAATACGCCTGGTTGTATGGTCAATAATATTCTAATGCCAGTACGTAATATTTGTTTATGTCATAATGATCATCATCCTCTGCAATACAACTACTAACATCATATATTTAAAATAACTGTAAAATATTACTCTTGCAACAAATGGGGGCATTCTTTTTTTTCATGCAACGATAGAATTTGCCACGAATAATATTCTTGACTTAGGCCTAAAAAGTACCTCAGCCGGCGACGACTCCAAGAGCATATATTATGTGTATATGTGTGTGTGTGTATGTGTATATGTATATATATATTGTTTACAATCATGTATTGTTTACAATCATGCTTGCATGAAATTCTCACTTTATACCATCTAGCTTTTTCTACCCTCACTCTCTCGCCACTGAGGAAGGACTAGTGTTGTCCGAAAGCTCTGGTTCTATTTCTGGCTGTTTACTTACGTCTACTTTTTAGCTGTTGCTTATCATTTTTGTATCTCTACTGAGATCCAGCCATTGTTTCCCACAGCATTGTTGTTTTCCAGTATTTTGCCTTTTAATCTATATATATATATACACATGTATATGTTTATATATGTATATGTATCGTATCGTATTTATGTACCGGTATGAATAACTATATAAAGAGAATGGAATCCGAATGTGACTACTGTTCTCTACGTAGTGAAATTACCCCTCTCATTCCTATGCAATTAATTATATTTGTCTCAGATTTTTATTTTTTTTATTGGCTTGCCCTTTTTACTCGGGCATTGTCTCTTTTTATTGTTTTTATTATTACTTCAAGGTTAGCTGACTTTGTATTATATTTCATTTATTAATATTTACTTTGTTAACCATGCCTCTGTACAAAAAAAGACTGAAATATTTACTTTAATGAATGAAAATGAATGAAATGTTCTATTATTATATAAACTAGATCTTGTCGCAACACTTATCCACTGAATCATAGCGTTGTACATCATTCTGCACGCGCCCTCTTCTTGCTCGTTCAGAAAATACCATGCATAGAGTTGATAAAGCGTAGAGTCCTGTACAGATGAACCAAGGCATATCGTACGAGCCGGTAATATCATATATTGCATCTGAAAATATAATACAATAGAAAAGTTTGGCTTATTTTTTCAAATACAAGCAAATACATTGTATTAAATCGGACATGGAGCACCGCATTAACACGTGGTGATTTTATTTATATACGCAAGAAAAAAAAAGTAATGGATTGACTCCATAGGTCTACGTACTGTTCAATTCAACTCCGGAAGGACACAAATGAAGGTAAGTTTGACCCAAGAATTCTAATCCAATACAGACATACTCCGAAATTACTGTTACCTGTAAAATAGGTAGTGATGAATGCCCCGGCACCAAACGCCATGTACAATGCAGCAACTGATTCAGCCCTCGTTTCATCTGAAGATACTTCCATCGCAATACTGGGCGTCAAGACAAGAAGCCAAGCACGTGGGACACTCATTACTAAAATTTTAAAATGAATATAAAAATAGATAAGATTAGCGATATGAACCAAAAGGTAAATTCTATCTGATATGACGTATTCACTGCTGTCTGTCTGTTAGAAGAAAACTAATGAACGGATCATCATAAGTTTAGTGAAATGTTACATAATAATTAAATAAAACATAACATTTTCGGAAGAAAAGTTCAAAGAACAAGTTCGGGAAAATTTAATTTTTTACCCTCGATCATAAAAGAAAATAATGGAATCGCCCACGTATTCAGGCAGCACTCAAGAAAAAAAATTCCTGAAATACAATGGGCGATTCCATTATTTTCTAGAGTGTAATCTTTAGCAGTCAGGAAATAATGTGCCTGAATACGACTAGCGATTCCATTATATTATTGAGGGTATGCAGCAGTCTTGCCCATTATACATGGCCTGCATGTTGTTGGTACTGTATTCAGGCACAGGGCGGAGGTATGCACTCTATATAGAGTGACTGCTTTAGTTCAAAATGTTATTGTTTTTAAATAATAAAGAAGAGGACGACGAAGAAAAAGAAGTAGAATAAAATTTAATATTAATAATAAAAACAAGAAGAAAACAACATCGAAATAGCAACACCGAATAAACACATCGAAATAAGAAAAATACGAATAATAGTAAGAAGAAAAAAGAAGAAAATGTAGTAATACCAAGAAGAAGAAAGAATATGAGTTATTATGAATATACAGAATTGTACCTTGTATGAACGCACTATCAAACCAGTGCCTGACAATCATATATAATTAAATGTCAATAAATACATTTTGAATTACCTGTAAAAGCCACTATTCGCCCTATTTGTGTCGATATAAAAGGTAAACATATTGAAGGTACAGCTGCGGCTATGTTACTTAAAGCATTCTGTAATATTCTTGAAATTGGTAATCTGTCAGAAAATATTGCTGCGATAATTCTTCCGGCAAGATCTCCTACACCCATTAAAACCAAAACAAAAGATATCACTGATAAATCCATTCCATTTACTGATAAGTAGTTGCCCTAGAAAAAAAATAATGCATATATATAAATATATATTATTTTATTATGAGATATAATATATAATAGCCTATATCTTCAGAGATCCTGTCTTGACATCAAATGCTTATAAGAAAAGGGCGTATCATACTTAACCCTGCATCAGGAACTGTTCAACTATTATCATGTGTAGAGTATTGTGAAGAATTAATGGCCCAGCTGGTTAAGGCGTCTCTGTATAGAGAGCAGAAGGTACCAGTTTCGAATCCCCTTTGGGGCAACTTGTTTAACACTCGCAGATCCCTCTTTTACGTTCAAGATATTTCTACATATTTTATAGCATTACAGGAATTGCCAAATGACCAAGAAACATTCAATTCTATTCAGCGTAATATTATCTCTCTTTTCATTGTGCATAGATTTTAAAGGAAAAGATAAATATTATTGAAATATTTCTGAAGAGAGGAGAAAATCCAACCTCGAGCAAAAGCCTGTTAAGGGCTACCTGAATAAAAAAAAATTGTAGAAGTATGCTGTTAAAAAATTTAACTTGTATGTATAAAATGAAAACCGTTATACAATATCAGTGATTATAAATATATTTAATCAGGGATATAACTGAACCTATTTTTAGATAAGATGTTAGGTAGGTTGTTCTAAAGTTTGGGACCCGCAAACTGAATATCGTTTTGAAAAGACAACGTTTTATGTAAGGGGTATGTATTTTGTTTAGGGTTAATATTGATAATGGTAAGCTGTACATGCGTAAAAAGTAAGAGCGGTATTTCAGAAGTATTAATTACTGTGGTAATATTAAGGTTGGTCTGATAAACAATGGAAGGGATTAAAGTGATAAACATAAGTTAAGTTGCAACATTTCATGGGAGAAATTAAGTATATAGTAATAACATGTCTAATCAAAGCTACTTTTGAGCCTCGCTTTTCATTTATTTTATATCGGCTATCTAGATGTGTATAAGAGACAGTATATAAGATCGATCAAGTAGCAAACAACTAATAAACTTTAAAGCAATCACAACACTAAAATTAATGGTGCTCGTGTCTCAGGCGTGTAATGCCTGAGTTTTAATTAGCCATTGTTATGCTCAATGAAACAACCAAGCATGTTTCGGAAGCAGGTTCGACTGCCATCGATCTCAGTGTGGACTGCACGCATCTTAGTCATATTTACGAGAAAATTTGTGACACGTACAAATAGATGCGAGTCGAACCATATCGGAAGAATATATAAAGACAAGAACCAATAAGAAAAAAGAACTGAATCAAAATGCCAAAGTTAAATTAACATGGTAGAGTTTTTGGTTGAGTGAGGTGTTCCCGTTGTATGCTTCCTTGATTTTCAGTTAATATTTGGAGGTGTCAGGTATTTTGAAACAGTCCACAAATATTGCCTAAATTTGGTGGAACTATTTAAGTGCTTAGGCCTATAATAGGTATTGTTCGCTGCCAAGTACTCGCGCGTGTTTTAAAATGTTGGCTCGTGTTATCAGCCTGCACACTTAAATTTATTTACCAAGTGCACACACGGAGACCGGCAGGAAACGGGGTCCTTAACAGTAACATATTTTTAACTTTAAATGAAAAGAATACTAGCTTAAAATTCAGATTTTTTACAATGTTGCTTAGAGAACAATCGAATCTTACCGGAAACCAGCCGAAATTTTAAAACACGCATTTTAAAATACTGGTACTGGTACTGGTACGGGCATTTATAATGCGCCTCTTCCTTGTGGTTATAATGCGCAGTTCTACAAGTCTAGAGAAATTAATTAAGCTACAGAAGTGCATTGTTCGCATTATTTGTTTAGCTCCATTTGATGCTCCATCTGAGCCTCTTTTTAAAAAAATTAAATGTCCTTAAAATCTCTGATTTTATAAAGTACAATTTTATTCTTTTATTAAATATATGAATGGTTTGCTTTTCCTATCAATCTCAAATATTATGCTCCCTAATTTGTCAAGTTCTTTAAAATATAATTTGAGGCACTTACGACGAATGTATGTTCCACTTGTAAGATTAAGGAAAACTCAACTTTCTATCACTGTTTCTGGTCCAGACTGTGGAATGCGCTTGATGAAAATTTTATAAATGTCAATAATATTACACTTTTTAGATTAGAAAGTTACGTAGTTAAGCCTAACCTTGAGCAAACTCCTGGCCTCGAAACCTTGACTCAGAATTACCTGGTTAGTGTCTGGCGGGGATAGTTTTCCACCAAAGTTTTTACTATTGTTTATTTTATTGTATTGTGCTGGTTACATTTTATTAGTTGTTATTGTACAGTGTTTTTTCAGGACCATTATTGTAAAACAGCGGTAAGATCTCTCCTGTATATGTTATCCTGCCTAAAGATGTTTTAAATAAAACAAAATAAATTAAAAAAAATAAAACATCTAAAACGTCAATATTTATCATGTTACCATGACTAAATGCCCAGGTTTGTATCTTTTTTATCCCTCTTTTTTTGCGCTGGATCTGTATTTTGTTTTACCTATTTGAGTGTTGTCTGCACTTGGCGTCAATTGTCTTTAATTCAACCGTTTATATCATACACTATATCTGTATCCTTTTCTGGGTCAGGTTAAGACAAGTTTGATTTAACTTGTAGACCTGATCCTAATTAATAGAATCTGTACTATAATTTAATTATCAAATGGAAATTATTAATTATTTGTCTTATTGTTATTGTTGATTACTATTAACTATCTATTGATTGATTGAATAAATGGTTCAAGTCATGTGGAGCACCTGGCAGCGGACAAGAACTCCCTCATCTGTAAGCACTTAAGTATGATATGATGACAAAACCATGGCCTACTTTGTAATAGGCGACACGAATAAATGAAAATTCTTGATAGTCGTTGCCGTGCTGATCTCTGTATAATCACAAATCTAATATAGGATCTATGGTGTAATGGAGCTCAACTTTCTGTGCCCGAAGGCTTTAATTCAATAAATAGGCCTCCGGCCCTTTTAACATAATTATAAAAAAAATTATAAATTAAGTGAGGGTTTGTAAATATATTCCTATAATTATATGCAGGGGACCGTATAATTGAGTCCTTTGTTATTCCTGGTATCATTAAAAACACATTTTTTTCGCATTGCATCTTAGTCTCTCTCTCATTTTTTGCACTTTTCTTTTTTCGGTTTTGTAGGCTAGGAAAGTCAAATGCCAGTTTCATTCATGCAACTGTAAGAGCCTGCCAACTACTGCTTGCCAGTAGAATTCAAATTGCAGGAGAACGGTGCGGAGACTTTTTTTTTCACTTGATTATATTAATCAAGTGTTATGAGAAATGAATACATACGGTACTTTGTTGTGAGAAGTAAATTGGTCTAGACCACCTTAAGCCCGACATGGTTGGGGCTGAGGTAAGACAATTTACGATTGCGGAACCTCTAGATGGCCGAAAATGGAACTCCCGTATTTAAATTTTATTATAATTTTCTTCTTTTTTTCCATTTTTTTTTAAATTTAATAAAATTTAGGCTGCTCCCCCCTCCCCATCCGACCCCCACTTAAATCCACCACTGGGTAATGAACTTTCTTAACACATTAAATATCATTTTGCAAGCTACGCATATTGATACCCATTGGCACTGATTTCGTGAGACAATGGACCTTTCCGCTAAGCTCCGCCCCTTGGATATTGTTGCTAAGGTCTCACAAGTCGGCAGTGTTAAAACATACGCGAACACGTGCGTTTGTTGGACAACACGTGTGTTTGTAAGACGCGCGCGTATTCATAGCGCTGTTCTGATTAGTCAGTTGTTAAGTTTGATTGACACTCCGGAAAGGTCTATTACTTGAAACTTGGCGGTACAGATTTTATCTATGCAGATTTTTATTTTGTGTTTCTAGTATCTTAAATCCAACGAAAATTAAAAGCAGCGCTGAAAACCTGTTAAAAATAATATTTTAAAAAATAATTTAAAAAAGAACAAAAACAAAATTACAAGAACCGAATTATAAAAAACAATTAAATCTTAAGGAGTAACAGATGTTGATAGGCGGATATGAGAAGAAAGGTTGTTCCACATAAGCGGAACAATGCATGGAAAAGTATTAATTGATATGTTATTCTGTGTATGCATCGTTTAGTCTAGTTCTTTCCTATAATTTTCACTAAAAGCCATCACATCATCAACAACCTAGGCCTATGCCGTTTCCTTTGCCGTAATCACCGCATTAACTTGATCAGTCTGGCTTTCCGGACGAAAGTGTCAACTTTTTACTGTCAACCTTTAAAATATCACATATTAGTCATTGATTCTTCCCCGTACGTGCATTTAACCTCATTAGAAAAGTGAAATACGAACTGCTATTGCTATTGCTTGTTTTGTTATGATAATGAAATTATATATATATATATATATATATATATATATATATATATAAAACACACTTTTATATACACTATATATATATATATCGATGAAGACTCTTACTTACCACACTTATTAATGTAAAAGTAACAGCTGAGGTTGATAAAAGTATTCCTATTAAACATAATATAAAATCTCGTCTTCGAAATAAAGCACTATAGTTCGCTATACTGAAAGTTTCTTGAGTTGTATTTGAATCTTCTTTGCCACTGTCTTCATCATCAGATTTGTTAATCTCCACCATGACAAGAGCGCTAGGATATCCAACTAAGGCAAACACGACACAAAGTATTCTAAACGCAATACGCCAAGAATAGGTCTCATACAGCCACTTCAGACATGGAGAAGCAAGAAAACCTGAAAGAAAGATATGAAGTTTAAGAGGGCTGGAGTGCTGAAATTCAAGTTTCAAAAGAGCACTGTCTTTCGGATGAGACATTTAAGACATTAGTCCCGTGTGCAATATTGATTTTGTGTGCTACCATGGGTGTTTTCACTGGATGATTAAAATCCAAGAATGAAATGTTTAAGTCATCTATTATTAAATATTAGAGGTTAGTATATTATACAGTGGCGGATCCAGGAATTTGAAATAGAGGGGATCCAGAGAGGGACTTTGACAGACGGAGAGTCTATACCACCTCAACCCCACCATGGTTGGGACTGAGGTAAGAAAATTCACGATTATGGCACCTCTTAAATGGCCGGAGATGGCACTCTCAGACTTAAATTTGGAAATATTCTTTTCCTCTAATTTTTACAATTTAGGGGGGCGGGGCGGCAGTTGGGGGCAGGTTCCCCTCCCCCCGAATCCGCCACTTTTATAATACTAACCTTGTTTGAATGTTTGCATGGCGAAGTAATAATATACCGTATTAATTGCTTGAGGTACACCACGTAGATAGAACTGTTATGTTATCCGTAATAACGAATTAACTAATTCGTTATTACGGATTAGTAATCCGTAATTACGAATTAGTAATTCGTTATTACAGATTAATGAACATATACTTTATTGGCACTAAGACTATCTACGTGGTGTACCTTAAGCAATTAATATATTATTACTTCGCCATGCAAACCTTCAAACACGGTTAGTATGTTGGAAGCCTTCAGAGTGTACAGTGCATTATGGCAATGCTGCTAGATTCTTCGGGGTATGCATGTCTTTAAAACTTAAATTTACACCACATATTCTCGTTTTGTATTCAAATTTCAGTCTCTTCGGTTTCATTATGCATTTTATCAATGACAAAATAAAATAAAAGAATACATTTAGTTAAAACAGACCTAATAATAAGTATTATTATTGATTACATAATCTTCAAAAATATATATCACTGTGTTATACTACTTGTATTAGTATATTTTTCAAAAAATGAATTCATTTTATTCATACATCTCATATTTTTGTTTGCACTTTTTTTCTACCTATATTTTCAAATGTTTTAAAATTTCAGTCGTGTTATGCCTACCAATACTTATTGCACAGAGGGTTGTAGAAGTTGCTCGCGTGGCGTTGCATTTGTCAAAGCTCCTCAAAATCAGATCAGTACTTGCTATGTTACAGGCGTTGAAGCCAATCCCATACATGACCCCGTATGTAAAGTATAACACTGATATGTGTTGCGCAAAAGACGATAATAAAAGGCTTAAACAGCATAGTGACACCCCAAGCAAGACTGTTGTCCGGTGGCCGAGCTTCTGGAACAAAATTGTTATCACGACGGAACCAAAGCAGAACAGAGAGATAGAGATGGCACCTGGTATACCTGCAAATACAAATTCGTTCGTCATTATGCAAACTCACACACACATACTGTATACACACACACATACACACACACATATATATCTGTCTCTTATACACATCTTAAGAGCCTGCCAACTACTGCTTGCCAGTAGAATTCAAATTGCAGGAGAACGGTGCGGAGACTTTTTTTTTCACTTGATTATATTAATCAAGTGTTATGAGAAATGAATACATACGGTACTTTGTTGTGATGATAATAATAACAATTATTATTATTATTATTATTATTATTATTATTATTATTATCATTATGATGATGATGATGATGATGATGATGATGATGATGATGATGATGATGATGATGATGATGATGATCAGTTTGTGATATTGGTGGTGGTGGTGTTGGTGGTGGTGGTGGTGATGATGATGGTGAAGATGATTATGGCAATGATGAAGATGATGATGTTGATTATTATGATGATGATGCAAATAATAATAAAATTATAGTTAACAGTATTAAATAAGGTTTGGATATTTTTAGTAGACTGAAAACAGTGGTGCATGTTATTCGCTATTAAGTAGGCCTAGGAGTGGGCTCAATATGGACCACCAATGACGTAACAAAGAGGCATGTGACCCCTGGCAAAGGCGTTCTTCGGGCTCTACCCTTGGTCCGGGCAGTGTCCGTTCGATCAATGATGATAATATGTGGGAAACAGCTATTTATTGTGAGCTCTCCCTGTCTTTAGCCAGTTAGAGCTCATAGATGCTCCGTCACTGAACACCACAATTGAACGAACATAAATTAGAACAGTTGAGGGGTGACTGTGTATACCATAGTCAATTAGCTTAGATCGTAATATCTTTTAAAAAAATTGTCATTTGTATCAACGGCTGAAAAGGTCTGTAAAATGTTTTGATATTAAATTGGCTATTAAGTGCATCAACAATAATTTACGAAGCTGTTTAAGGGACATGACGAATTTTATTTTATTTTCCTAACCCGTACGTACGCCTTATGAAGTCGTACGTACGCCTTATAAGTCGTACGTACGCCTTATGGGTTATTAAGGCGTACATACGCCTTATTAAGGCGTACGTACGCCTTATTAAGGCCAATCAGAAGACGACTAACAATGAAGTTTGGCTTAGCTGCAAGGCCATCAGCCAATCACAAACTACCTTCCATTCCGTTTGTCCAATGTAAGTAGTAAACAACACACGTCCACTTGCAAGTATGGCGTTGGACAGAAGTTTATCAAATGATAAATCTGAGCCGGTTTCAGGCATATTTTTGTGATACATGTTGTGAGAACATAGAGTATGGTTGTGTCATTAAGCGTAAACAGCTTAAAGAAATTTAAGGATGTGCAACTCTGTGGAAAACAACTAATACGAGTCCTCAGTAAGGCCTATGGCTATGAGGTTTCCGTCGAAGCTGATGAATAGCCTACTTATAGGCCTATAATATGAAGAGGCTCTCGGGGATAGTGGTGCAAGTAGTAGTAGTCAAAATTGCACCGAATCTGTTTAAAGGTACGTGTGTTGTTACATATAACGTTAAAAATGGTATGGTATGTTTTACTTCATTGAGAAGCACTAAGCGTCTCTCTATCACACCACACACACACACACACAGACAGGAAGGCCAGTGCCTTTTTCTCAAACTGGGGTACTATCGACAGCAAAATAACCACAGTATTGTGAATCAAATATGATGATGTTATATTGTAGTAAACATAATAAGACAATACTTTTGGCAATGAATTGACCCTGCATAAATAACTGATAAATGAAGACAACTCAAGGATAGCCATGCACAATTATATAGCAACTATTTACTACTATCTACTAAGAACAATGGTTTACTATACAAATTGAATCAATTCAGTTTTTTGGGGGTAGGGGATGTGCCCTTCAGTGACTGTGCTTAGACTAATTAATTCAGGCATAAATTGATTTTAATGTCTTCATGAAAGAATATAACAAAATTATTATATTAAGACTAGTACAGAATGCTTTATCTACATACGAATCCTTCACACATCATAACAAAAAATATAGTATTAATATGTATCAAAACTGACTTTTAATATTTATCAACACTTAGATGTCCAATTAAACATCACCACCTGCATTTAATATTATATTATACTGATACTACTTGTTACTTTTTTTTTTTGGAAAACAACCTTTGTTTAAAAGGAAACAATTAAAATACACATTTGATCATAAAACAATCACAGTAACCTCTCTTTTGAATTAGTTTGTTTAATTAATTTTCACACCACAGACTTAAGTGAATGGAAGTTGATGAACCACAGCCAAAGCAAATTTTGCTTCATTCTGCATCAGCTGAAATCAAGAATTAAGAAGTGCTTCCTGGTCGAAGTCATGTTCTCCCATGTAACAATAATATATTAAGTACTTTTAATAGAGAAATAATCATTGTGAAATTAGTAAGATGTGAAACATTGAGTGGTGGAATTAGTTGAAGCTGCTATTGCAAATCAGGATGAAGCCTTGTTACTACATGAGGGATATAAGTATCTGGTGGCAATTCAGGCCATATTATAGGCATGAATCAATTGAAAGTACTGTAGTCTTATCTGATTGTATACTGTTTGATGAATGTTGTTATCTACTTGATATAACATCATACCATACACTGTGTTGAGAAATATTACCATATATTTTTTAATTTTTCCTTGTATGAACAGTTATCAACAACACATTTATTTTCTTTATAAAAATTTGCATTGAGTTTTTGAATGGCATTGTATGGTATTTTACAATTAAATATGAAAAGAAGAAAATAACTTATGCCTCAACCCACGGTCTAATAAGGCGTACGTACGGGTTACATAAGGCGTACGTACGCCTTAATAAGTCGTACGTACGGGTTACATAAGGCGTACGTACGCCTTATTAAGGCGTACGTACGGGTTACATAAGGCGTACGTACGCCTTAATAAGTCGTACGTACGCCTTAATAAGGCGTACGTACGCCTTAATAACGCCTTAATA